AAAGCTGAAGTCACACAGAAGCTGGGGAAGGGAGGAATGCTACGTAAATACTAAAAACTCTACAGCAAAAATTTTACTGAAGTCTATTGATCTCTCTTATGCATACATATTAAGACACAATTTGTAGGTGATGCAATGGTTTGGCTGAGTATCTGTAAGGCTGTGAGCTATTCCTTTACGTGTGGTCTGTTCGTGAGTAAGAAAGCAACTGCCCTGCCTTCACTATTCTCTTATCAAAGAGTTAATTCCTTCACTTCACTGTAACTCTTGAAAGGGGCACATATTTCCTTGCTATTGCAAACATTCGTAAGACATAACTCACACAGCTGCAGTTAAAATCATCTCCTCTGAAGAAGCAGACATCAGCTGTAGAAGCTGCACTTTTACTGTTTCTTTAGGCCCAGGAAAAGGGAAACAATCAATGCAGCTGGATCTGGTGTACGCCATCAACACTACACCTTATAAGAAAGAAGCTAATTCATACAATGTCACTTCATGAGTGAAGTGTTATCACAACAAAGGCAAAGTTGACAGCATACACCCATTTGAGTTAGGAGGCACAGAGGACAAGACCAGTGCAAACTCCGTAAAGGTCTCCTACCTTGAGAGTTCAGCAGCAGAGCTGGCAGAAGGCAGGCAAGGGTGCTGCGATGCAGCTGTGGCATGATGCAGAGCCTGTGGAAAGCCCATGTCCACACGGATAGAGGGAGGCAGAGAGGGTGGAAGCACGAGGTTTTGTGCATTTTACACTGCTAAAACCCATCATATACAGTATCAGTGCCTGATCATGATACCATGGCCTACAATAAACAGCCTTGTGCAGGATATCCTACTGCCAATCCACTACCTTCCCAACTAAAAGGATTTTTCCTGAGTTCACAGTGAATTTTATTTAGCAAAATGGCTCAATCTAAGCGTCTTGCTGGCATCACTAAGACAAAAACTTATTTAAAACATACAGATTGATAGGTTCTGTTGCAAGAAAGCAAACTTTGAAGATGAAGCTTTATGTCAGGCATTTTTTCCCTATGAATTGAGATTTTTTGAAAATACTGTTCAACAAAAGTAAGATTTTCTTACTTTATTTATGACTTAATAGCATATACCTGTCACTGGGAAAAGACAAAATGCAAGAGAACAGTTCAATAAAGAGACATCTTTCAGTGAGAAGAAAGTTTTTCAATCTTCAGCAACATACTCAGCAATTATAGCATGGCAAAAGAATCAATGTGTCATATCACATGCAGTTGTCACTACAAAGATGTGCAGGTTGCTTTATCGGGTGTAGTAATTTCTTTTGTCTAGATCAGCTATTAACTGCTCTCATGGACAGTAACAAAGACAAGCTTGCCACGGCATTATAGCGTGAGCTATGATTGCTCTGAATGACAGCTTTACTAGCTTTAATGTCCTTCTGTAGGGAACTGAAAATCAAAGCTGAAACTCCAGGCCTTTTTCTCCTTGCAAGATGCTCTAGTCAGGCAAATGAAGAACTTTAATGCAGTTAGTTACTACCACTCTGAGAATAAAATAACGTCGGCATGTGTGCCATGCTGACTGTATCACACTTTCAGAACTAAAACGAACAGAGCTGATAAGTCTGCTAACTAATTACTCCTTATTAAAGCTTAGGCACATCTTCCCACAAAGCCAGAGAAACTTGCCAGCTCTACCAAAGACCTAATGACATTCTTTGCAACAATAGTGGTTTCCCAGAGCATCCCGGTTAGATCTCCCTTGTGCAGTCTGGTGGGCACAAAGCAACACAGACATCCACCCTCCTGCTGATACTGCACTGATGCTGTAATATTGCTTTATGCAGCAAATAAGGAAGGTGACAGTAGAAGGCAAAGTAGCAATGACTCATGTGCTGTGGGCATTAGGAGAAAGGTGCTTTCAGAAAGAATCCAAAAGGTGAATTTCACCTCTAGGCAAAGGGCCAGCACAAAGCAAAGAACCTCAAAACTAGCTCAAAGTGGTGCTTAAGTAATTGGCGGGCTCCATGCCAGTCTTGTAGGTAAAGATGAATCTCACCCTCAAACTAAGGAAGGAATATTTAAGACAGCCAACTGCAAACAAAAAAAAATCAGGTCCGGAACATAGGCATCAAAGGAAAGGAGTGGCAGGTTGCAAGGAGACCAGGTCAAGTTGGGAGGGAAGGACAGTAATATACAAGTCAGAGTATTTCGTTGCCTGGCAATTCAAGAGCCAACAAAGAAACTATAAAAGAGGCAATGCATCAGGCACAGTGCTTTAGAGAGCCTTTTGCATAGTTGAACTAGTTGACTTTTCTAAAGGGAGTACCTTGTGAGCGTAAAAGTTTTAAGACCATCTAATAAGGAGCACTTCCTACTCAAGATGGCAAAACCACGTTTCTCAAAACAGGGATCTTAAGTATGCAGAAATGGACTAACCAACCAACCTTGAATGATTCTGTTCATTTGAAAAGCATCAAAATGCAGTTTCCCTTTTAAAAACATACTCTTATTACATTTGGATGTTTGAAAGAAATATTGTATCAAAATGTCTTATCCAACTATCCAAAGTTATGTATGAGCTAAGCAATAGCTTAGGTTTTAAAAGTTAAAATTATTATTTCCAATGCGGTGCTATGCTGGTGGCACATTCCGTTCTTTGAAACAGGAATGACTGTAATATTTACTCTTTCTTACCTTCTCCCAGTAAGGCAGCACATGTTGCTGTGATGGAATGGCACCTGCTGGGAATGCTGCTGTGCCCAGGCTCTCACCATGCTTATCAGTCTTCTGGACGGTCTTAAGCAGACCTCGTTATTTAAAAGGATGCAGATCTCTACTGTAGCATTAGCACAGCAAGACGTTGCTTACTATGAAATGAACTTCCTCTCCAGGTAAAACAGATTTTTGAAGGAAAGATCCTTCTATCAAGTTTGTAAGAGATTTTATTATGCTTAACATTTTTTACTGTCTTCCTAAGGAAGCAATTCAGTGTTTCTTTGCAAATATTCCATTACCAAGACAAATTAAAAAGGATTATCCACTTTAGTACTGCAGTGAAGCTCTGAAAGAAGTGTCTCCCTCCAGATTTTGGGGTCTGGATTTTATTCCTTGCAAACCCAGATTTCTCCCCTAACTGGACCCAGCAAAATCATTGGTGTCGGTTGAACAGCAAAAAGCCTGTAATTTCTTTTAGTTACACAATGTTACTAGGGAGATGGTGTAAATATAAGTACAATCACAATAGTAATTTTGTTAATTTCCATGCATTCCCATGTGAAAGACCTGAGTATACGAAGCAGAACACTGGAACAATGACAGTAGCATAAAACGTTGCAAAATTCATTTACAACACTGTAAAAATGAGTAATTAAAAATACATATAGAATTACATAATGAACAAGTTCTCTTTGTAAAAATGAAACATGTTGAAAGTTAAAAATTACAGCAGAATTACACAACCTATCCTTGTTAAGCTTGCTAAGCAAGCAGTAGTATACCTTGTTCAAACAACCATGCTATGTCAGCCAGCCCTCCTCAAACTGCAGCAGTATGCTGAACTTGGAAGAAGACATCCTGCACTCTGCACATCAACTCAGCCTTTAGAAACAGCTGACAATGGCTTGTAATGAAGCATGCATTTACTGTATTCTCCTTAGACTTTAGAAATGCTGGCATTAAGAGTTTTTCCTAGAACAGACACTTTCTTTGTGCTGAGTGAGATTCGCTTTATTAATTATAGGTATGCTTTCTAGTAGCAATTTTGTGATACTCGCTAGCGGTGATTTTTGTGGTATTTGTGATAATCTGTAATAAGGTAGAGAAATTCAGAGGATAAAGCCTCTATGTCCTTGTGTATTAGAGAATCCTATGAACTCACAGTCGTGATCTCAACACACCCACAGGCCAAGTAACCTTTTAGGTTGTGACAATTACTTATTAAAACTATTTTCGCATTTCATACCTCAGACATGGACAGAGTTAAAGGCCAAAAACAGAGTACCAGATTGTGACCTTACAGCACGTTAATGGATGAAGTATACACAAAGTATAAGTGTTCAAGGAGGCAGGGAGAGGTAGAACATTACATGCTGCTCTGGTCGGTTTTGGAGGACTGGTGCACACACTTCCTCTGGGGCTGACTACTGCTAAATAGCTGAGAACAGCTCTGATGTTCCCTCTCTGCACAGGCACATCATCAGTCCTACTGGCATCAAGCTGCCTGGCACCTGGGACAGCTTCAAGAATTACAACCGTAAAAGAGATGAGGATTTTTTTTAATAGCCACTTTTACTTATGAAGCACCAGAAACAATTAGGATACATTTTCTCATGTCAAAGTTTTTTCCAAAACGAAGAAGATAAGATTACATGAATGCACTGAGATCATACATTCCCCTGCTTTCACCTCTCAGAATTACACAAATACAGCTGACTTGCACAAAAGCTTTGAGAACTAGTCACATGGTAAAAACAATTTGCACCACAAATCCATATTACTACCTATGGCAGGGTTAGCCGACCTATGCCAGGGCATTTAGAAACTAGCAATACTCTCCTCTGCTTATATCACCAGAACCACAGCATTGATGGGTAACTCCATGGAAACTTCTTTCCACAGTACATCAGACAAAGAATGGGAAAAAAAATAGCATTTTATAAAACACTAATGGATTTTGTTTGTTAATGAAAAGCAACCTCTGCCAGAGGCATTTAAACAAAGATGATGTAGAAATTGAGATGAATACTCTGGTAAGCCTTACTGCCAGCTTAATGCCGATAATGAAAAGTAATAAAGTGAACTAGGCATGTTGCTATACCAATTTATTTTTTTCCCCCATTAAATATTGATAAGAACTTATATTCCTTACCTATGCTGGTAGCAACTCATTTTATCAATGCAAATTAAACATTATTTTTATTCTTTGTGAAGATAAGTTTTATGCCTGTGCTTTATACTATATCTATACAAGACTTCAAACAAACCTGTGATGTTTTATGAAAGCATAATAATACAAGTGCCTACCTTTTTCAGGAACCGTACTCCATAGGTAAATATATAAAGGTAAAATGTAAATCTCCACCTGCAAAAGGTACAAGAAATTAACTCTAGGATACTAGGTTTACATACTTTACAGTTCAGCACATTATTTCTAATAGCACTGCCAAATCACCACACCATGGTCAAATTAATAGAAGTTGAAGCAAAATTTTGGTCTGGTTTTCTACAACTTTTGTTATCAGGCATTGTTCTCATCTGCCTGCTTTTCCCGGCATTAGTCCTCTGAAAATACTGGCTAATTTCAACTGAACATGACAGGAGAAAACAAATTTTCAAGGATAATTCAGTTTTTTAAAGTTTCATGAGAACTAGCGGGACAGGGGAGGACAGAGGACACTTTGCACTCCTATTGCAGGGAAGTTCACTTGCTATTAGACAACAGGACAATGATAAGAAATTTTACTAAACTTTCAGCAGTTGACTTTAGAGTGCTCCACATCAAATACAGTCTTTAGTAATGAAAAGCATCAGCCACAATGAGTTGGAAATGCACTTAGCAGATACCAACACTTCATTCTTGGTTTTAGGGAGTGCATTTGTGTCAAGAGAGATATTCTGGATGCAGATACATATCCACAATTAACGTCTGCTCCCAGAGAGTTTCCTTGATAAAGATGATTCTACATTTTCCCAAGTACACATGAAATTATTGCTGGGCTTCTAGTTTTTCTCTTCAGATAGAGGCAAACTAGAAGCTGGGATCAAGATGTCATGGAAAATAAGACAGAAACCAGCAGGAAACTTAATACAAAATCATCCTCTTCTCTACATCTTTCTCCCTTCCCCAACAAAAGAAGACATAAAGAGTATATTCCTATCTTTTGGACTCATTATTGCCTTAGAAAAGAACAGTAAATGGAAGTATGAGGGAATAAAATCAAACCCTCATGTAGTGTAAATTCTTAGAGGAATTCCTGATTTTTTTTCCAAAGGTTTGAATGACTACACAAACATGCTTGACAAACACCAGTGAGGTACTATTCATAACATTTATAGCAGGATGAGATTTAGCTTCCTTAGTGTGAGGCAATACTGCAGCGTGAATCATCTTCAATTACATATTTTATAGCACTTAACACTTTCTCTCCACTGGCAAAACTACTAGCTTACGGTTAATTGACACTGAAGTGTGTTCAGACATTACTGGAATGGTTTCAAAACTGAAAATGCTCCTATGTAAAAGAAGGTTAATCCAAACTTTCCTCTTCAAAGCTACTTTTACAAGTATTTAGAAAGAAAGCTGTGTCATACATAAATAATCTTCTGACGAGTACAGGAGAGTGTAAGAACATCAATGAGATTTAAAGTGTGATACTTAAGATGAATAGAAACATTCTCTTATCCTGTGGCTTCTTATCTTGCAGAGATTAATTTATTCAATTGACAGGATACAAATACCAATCCCTTCAAGGGTTCAATCACACTAGCAACATGGCTCGCAGCTTTCATGCTGGCAGTTTCCTCAAAATACTGCAAAAATAGAGTACTTAGAGTCAAAACGTTAGTTGTGCTCACAGATCACGGACGGGGAAGGAACAGCAAGAACAGTGATATAAAGGAAGGTTTTATTTGGGTAACAATTTTCTTATTAGGCCTGTCCCACAGCTAGGAAACCTGCCATTTAACTTTGAGGTTACATACCTCATCTACTGAATGCTTGAAGGCTGTCACTGAAAATAAAAAATATTAGGAGGGAAAAACTGTCTAATCTTATCTCACTGCTGAGCACTTGCAGTGCCCTTCTTTCACTCGTAAGTGCGAGCAGTTATGATAAATTAATCACAAAGAGTCTTCTTGTTTTAAAAATCCCTTCAATATCATCTTTATTTTACATTCCTCCAAGAAAAATTCGTAGCATATTTGAGGACGTTTGTAGCTTGCTGTTGGGAGATGCAATATTCCACAGAGGAGTTCAAAGGCAATTTTATGTATCTAAAATATGTTAACAGTTAAGTTTTAGATGGCGCATCTCAGGGATTTTCCAGTCTGCATGGCTGTCTGGAAGACTCCGGTTGCAGCACTCACTGCAGTTATCACCTCGGAAGGTGATACCCACCTCCCAAAGCACTTGCCACTGCTGTAGCTCTGCACTAAAGCCATGGATTGCCCTGCAGGAGATTCCTGGATTCCTGGAGCTGCAGAAAAACCTCAGAGCCAAGAGTACCCAGGTATTATTTGGGTCTGCCAAAGACAATCAACTTGCTCCAACTGTTCGACTGCTACAAAGGTGATACATGCATACATGTATATGATAATATATGCTATTGGTCTGTCCTCTTTTTCCCTAGCCTGACAAACAAGTCTACTTGGGTTGAGTATCAGAAGATAAAGCAAGGGTCAGAACTGGATGATAGACAAATCTGGTCAAAGTGCTAACTTTTTAAAAAAATAAGTAACACTGTTAGAAAAAATTACACATTCCTGCTAAACAACATCTGCAGAAGCGATCTGTCAAACTGCAATAAAGAAAAATTCAAACCAAAGCAAAGTCGGAATTGGTCCCCAGCATGCTTATCACCATTAATCAGCTAACTCTGGTGGTAGCAGAGCTACAAAGGATTGTCCACTGATCTGTACCAGGCAGGTAGCTGCCTTTTCTGTGGGCATCAAAGGGAAATTCTGACGGGTCAATACCCCAACTGGAATCTCAATCCCATACAAAGAAGTTCAAGAAGTTTCCCACATTGTTTTAGCACTATTTGTAGATGGCTTATTGCTGCGATTAACAGCAAAATATCCAGTGGCCAAGGTAAAACAGATGAATGCAAGAAGGTTTGGAAGAAAATTAATTTTAAGTTATTATTTATTATTATACAGTAAGTGAATATATCTAGTCTAAACTAGCAAAGTAACTGTGTTCAACATTTTAGTAAATGTTGCACATGAACTGCTAATACCAGTGACCTTAAAAACAGGAGATAATTGATTTGCAACTGTATTTTTAAATAAAATAAAATAAAGACAAAGATGTAACTAGATGCTTGTTACCTACAAATTAACATATATTTAGCTCTATAAAATCCACATTAAACTAAATCAACAGTTAAGACCATTTACAGAATGAATGACATTTATGAGGCCTTACAGTTGGAAGAAATATACAACAAATGGTCAGAATTAAGGGTTGTTGTTCCCATCAGCTTCAGCTGTAGATTGAAAAAAGGCAAGGAGTCTATCTGTAGCTGTCAGCTACGTGTTACCAGAAATGTAACGACAGATACACTAATAATCCTTTGCACAATGTCATGCGTAGATCACTACACGTCTGAACACACTGGGAACTGGATCAGCACCCAGTTCTCTGCCCAGTTTCCTACCTTGCTGCAGGGAGTCAGTAACCTAAAACACTGTTGATATTTTACTGGCATGTGAGCAGTCCTCACTCGTCCTCAGCTGTCCCTTTTACTCAGCAGAAAACCTAGGTTCAATTTTCTCCTCTGTCACATCTCTCACACACTCCTGAAGGGTTTGCCAGCCACAAAGTTGTCATGTGTAGGATCAGCTCTTCCTGTGAAGCTGTTCTATATAGCAGAAAATACTCTGACTTGAGATGAAGGACAGGGAGGACAGGGACAGGAACTAGATTGAGAAGCTGCATTATTCACTCAAAATCATGCAGACAACGCCAGAAGGTATGATATAAGTATGTTCCATGCAATGCAGACTTGTCCAGCAAGATTCTTCCAAAGGTGAACTCTCAATTCAACTCTCCTGCAACAAGTACTCTAAGGAAATCCATCATTCACAGTCTACAGTATATACTTTTTTATCCCTCTGTTTGGGTCTCACTGAAACCCAGTGATGAAGAGATGCAAGTAGAGGGAAACAGTTACGAGTAGGAATCACATCCATTCACAGTATAGCCCAGTGTCCAGACCACCTTAGTATTTTGTGAACTTATGCAAAATGTTCTTACTCTCTGCACAGGACGTCATAGAAGAAAAGGACATCTTTCTGAAGTTTGAGGTTATTGTCTGATTCCCACCTGAATTCACAAAGTGGTAGTTGATGAAGAGAGGTCTTTAATTTGTCCTAGGTAATAGTCCCAACTCTTATGGTTGGATAAAGTCCTGAGCACAGTCTGAATAGCCACAGACATCAGGGAAAGGAAGATGTCCAGCCAGTGGCATAAAACCTCTCTAGCACCCTTTCTGATATCCTGCTCAAGGTCCTTTCTATGCATCAGCAGCTCATGATGAACATCCCCAGGTCACTGGGGACATCTATTGGGTTCACAGCTGGTTGTGTACAACAGGGAAAGTAACAATTTTTTCTAAAGCAGCAGGTAGCAGAGCCCAACAGACTAGAAAAAGCAAGGCAAAATCTGTACTAAGATATCTTTTGTTCCTCTTTCCCCACAACAATACTCACTGCACTATTAAAGCAACACAATGGAGGTCACTAGGTGAAGCACCCCATTGTGGGCAACCGCCACATCAATTCATATTTAACTGAAAGATGATGACAGCTGAAGCTGCTCTGTTTTGTGAGAATCTGCTCTGGCCCTCAGACTTAAAACACTCCTCCAGTCAGTTGTACAGAGGCACAGAATCTGAATGACCCACATACACACAAAGTGCGCTGCCTGAAAGACTTTTTAGGTTAATTTAAATCCCGCAAACCCAGATGTAAGCGCTTAAGGAACAAGTGTTCTGGGAGATTTGATCTGTCTGCTCACAATATGGTTTATGAGGCTCACTTTAGTCCTGCACTAACATGCCTACAAGACTTCCAGATTGAACCAGGCTTGCGTCTGGTCTGCTGGAGCTCAGAATGAGGGAGATCAATCCTGTTTACATATGGTCCTTCTGGCAAATCCTTCAGGTTTTGCTAGTTCTTACCAGGCCAGTGTTTCAAATATGGATGTGACACACTGCAGCAAACAGTCAAGCTACAAAGTGAGTCTTCAGTAACAAGAACAGAAATTCTTTTCAAACGTAGTCTTAAAATCAATGCTCTAGAGACCCTCAAGTGCAGCAATAGATCTGACTGCTCTTGCTCAACATGTGAGTGCATTCCTGA